ACTTCCCCGGCTCAAGCAATCCTCCTACGTCACCCTCTTGAGTAGCTGGGACTACAGCCATGCACCACCACACCCTGTTAATTTTTTGATTTTTAGTAGAGATGAGGTCTCACTATGTTACCCAGGCTGGCCTTGAACTCCTGAGCTCAAGTGATCTTCCTACCTTTGCATCCCGAAGTGCTGGGATTACAGGCATGAGCCATCACACCCGGCCTCAACTCTTCCTTCTTCTTAAATCTTTCTTTAGAGTAAGTTTGAAAAATGACTTGCTCAAATGACATGAAACCTTGATGGCTTTTGCTCTGTGCTCTATTGCTTTTTCAAAGGCATGTGAGCTAACAGAGCAGTTCATGACAAACTTTCACTAATAGTGTCATCATTTTTGTTTTCTCATTTTGTAGGTATAAAATGATACATAAAATTTAAATTGATTTTATAATTTTGGATACTGGTATATCAAAAAATCTAAGTATGATTCCTGAGGGAGATGAAATAGCATGAGTCATGTGTGTAGGAAAAGAGAGGAAGGGAGCTTTTCCAGGTTGATTTGCAGTTCTTGTTCAAGAAGCTGATCAGATGGTAGAACAAGTGACAGGAACAGGGTAGTTGAGAAGGGGGTTAACTTTTGGGAAAGATAGATCATTGAATTAATGAACTGAATTAAATTCATTTACACTGAAAGCATGAGACCCAGGTAGAAATCAGCTATAAATCTGAAGCATAGATCAGAAGGTTCTAGCAACTTAAAACCACAATGAGCTGTCACTACACTTTTATTAAAATGGCTAAAATAAGAAATGGTGACAACTCACTGAAGAGTGAGTTCAGCAATGTTGCAGGATATGAGAGCAACACACAAAACTTAATATATCAACAATGAACATGTGGAAACAAAGTTAAAAACACAACTACTTACCTGGGTGCGGTGGCTCATGCCTGTAGTCCCAACACTTTGAGAGGCAGAGGCGGGTGAATCACCTGGGGTCAGGAGTTTGAGACCAGTCTGGCCAACTTGGTGAAACCCTGTCTCTATAAAAAATACACATATTAGCCAGGCTTGGTGGCGAGAGCCTGTCATCCCAATTACTCAAGAGGCTGAGGCAGGAGAATCCCTTGAACCCAGGAGGCAGAGCTTGCAGTGAGCTGAGATTGCACCATTGTACTCCAGCCTGGGCAACAGAGCAAAAACTGTATCTCAGTGAAAACCAAAACCAAAACCACAATACTGCTTACAGTAACCCCAGAGAAAATGTGATGCTGTATATAAATTTAACAAGACATGTACAGGCGCTATACGCTGATAATTGCAAAATGATTATGAAGGAAGTCAAAGAGAACCTAAAGAAATGGACAGACATACTGTGTTCATGGATTGCAGGATAGTAAAGATGTCAGTTTACCCCAAACTGGTCTATAGGTTTCTGTAATTCTCATGAAAATCTCAGCAAGATTTTTGTGTAGACATGGAGCTGCTTCTAAAATTCACATGGAGGCCAGTCACAGTGGCTCATGCCTGTAATCCCAGCACTTTGAGAGGCTAAGGTGGGTAGATCACCAGAGGTCAGATTGAGACCACCCTGGCCAACATGGTGAAACCCATCTCTACTAAAAATACAAAAATTAGCCAGGCATGGTGGCTGGTGTCTGTAAACCTAGCTATTCGGGAAGCTGAGGCAGGAGAATCTCTTAGGTCCAGCCTGTGCAACAAGAGCAAGACTCTATCTCAATAAATAAATTAATTAATTAAATAAAAGTAAAATAAAATAAAAATTCACGTGGAAAGGCACAAGCCCTAGAATTGCTTAAACATCTTGAAAAAGAATAAAGTATAAATAAACATGCTACTTGATATTAAGACATATTTTAGAGCTATAGCACTCAATACACTGTAGTATTGATGGAAAAATAGAAACATAAATTAGTGAGGCCAGATGCGGTGGCTTACTGCTGCAATCCCAGCACTTTAGGAGGCCAAGGCAGGCAGATCACCTGAGGTCAGGAATTTGAGACAAGCCTGGCCAACATGGTGAAACCTCATCTCTACTAAAAATACAAAAAATTAGCCAGGTGTGGTGGTGCATTCCTGTACTCAGCTACTCAGGAGGCTGAGGCATGAGAAAACCCAGGGGCAGAGTTGCAGTGAGCCAAGATCATGCCACTGTGCAACACAGCAAGGCTCTGTCTAAAAATATATATATATATAATATATATTATATATATATATATATAATATAATATATATATGTTATATTTTATATATATAATATAGAATATATATTATAAATATATGTATGTTATATATTATATATATGTGTATATATAAATCAATGGAAGAAAATAGAGAACTCAAAAATAGACCAAAACATATACGCCCATCATTCTTTTTAAAAAGGTGCAACAGCCATTCAATAGAGAAAGGATAAGCTTTTCAACAGATTGTACTAGATAAGGTGGATATCAACAGGCAGAAAAACAAACATCAACATAAGCCTCATATCTTATACAAAACTAACTAAAAATAGATTGTGGACTTAATAATTTTTCAGAAAAAAAGGAAATAGGGCTTAGCAAAGAGTTCTTGAACTTGACTCCAAAAGTATAATTCATAAAAGTAAAAATTGATAAATTGAACCTCATCAAAATAAAACTTTTGTTCTTTGAAACACCTCATTAGGGATAAAAAGATGAGCTACAAACTGGGAGAAAGGATTTTGAAGTCATATATAACAAGGGACTCAGATCTAGAATATAGAAACAACTTTTAAAACTTCACAGTAAACAACAACAGACACACAATCCAATTAGAAAAAGAGCAAACAGTAAGATCCCATTTCTACAAAAAAATATAGAAATTAGTCGATGCGGTGGCATACACCTGTAGTCCCAGCTTCTCAGGAGGCTAAGGCGGGAGGATCACTTGAGCCTGGGAGGTTGAGGCTGCAGTGAGTCAAGATCATGTTACTGCACTCCATCTGGGGCAATAGAGCAAGATCCCGTCTCAAAAAAAAAAGGCAGAAGACATGATCATGTATTTTGTCAAAGAGGCTATATAGAATAAGATAAGCAAATGAAAAGATTTTCCATATCATTAACCATTACACAAATGCAAATTGAAAACACAACAAGCCATCGCTGCACTTTTATTAAAATGGTTAAAATAAGAAATGGTAATAACAGCTAATGCTGGGAAGGATAAATCGGATGACTAATACAATGCTAATGGAAATGTAAAATGGTACAGCCACTCTGGAAAAAGTTTGGCATTGTTTTATAAAATGAAATGTGTAACTACCATGCAACCCAGCAATTTTACACTCTTGGGCATTTGTCCCAGAGAGATGAAAACTTACATCCACACAAAAACCTGTACATGATTATTCATAGCAGCTTTATTTATAATAGCCCCAAACTGAAAACAACCCAGATATCCTTCAATGAGTTAGTGATTGAACAAACTGTGGTGAATTTATGCCATGTGCATATGCATCAAAAAGGTATGAACTACTGATTTTAAAAAAAGCTGTAGTAATGGTGGTAAAACTCTTGAATATACTAAAAACCATTGAATTGTGCACTTTCAAAGGATGAATTTTATGGTATATGAATTATACTTCAAGCTATTAAAAGGGATATATTGATTATTTTATGTTAATGGACAATTCCAACATATCCAGTTTCTTCTGTTACAATGCTGCAAGGAACATACTTGAACATTGATCTTTATGCCTTAACCTTCCTGGTATTTCTACAAGATATAGTGAAGGAAGAGGATTTATGGTAGTAGTCTTTATTGTGGTAGCCAGTGACCAGTTATGCAGTGGTGTTTATTTTGAGTGCTTAGACACTTTGAATTTCTATAAAACTGAGATTTCATGGTTGTAGCCAGCCAAGACAGCATTGACAGTCCCATATGGAAAAAGAGTTGGAAGGATGATCCTGGGTGCTCTTGAGGAGAGAAGGGAGCGTGGGAGAGACTTGAGTAAGGAAGGGAGGGAAAAAGGTGAGCAGGACAATGAAAGCCTCCTGTGAGGTTTTTGCTGTTCATATTTCCTTTCTGCCTTTATAGAAAGCTCTTGATTTAAATTGGACTGGTTTCTCTTTTGCTTTTTCCCTGTTAGGTGAAGGCATTCTCATCTCCTCAGAGGCTTCAGAGCTTCTCGATTTTATAGACAACCAGGGCCAAGTGCACGTAATCCAGAAGTATCTTGAGCACCCTCTGCTGCTTGAGCCAGGTCATCGCAAGTTTGACATTCGGTAATGCATTCATGTCTGTAGCTTTGTTTTTATTCATCTGAAAAAAATGCCATGGTATATGGTGGGGAGGGGGACATGGAATATGGGAAAGTGTTTGACCATGTTTAATATGTTACCAAAATTGAGCACAGCTGAATGGAACTGAGCTTCTGTACCTAATTTTCTATTTTTCTTTCAATACTTTTTTCTGTCTAACAAAGATTACTAAGATTATAGATTTTCTTGTTTAAAAAATACTCTCCTCTTACCAGGTACAGTGGCTCATGCCTTTAATCCCAGCACTTTGGGAGGCCAAGACTGGGGGATTACCTGAGGTCAGGAGTTTGAGACCAGCCTGGCCAACATGGCAAAACCCCATCTCTAGTAAAAATACAAAAATTAGCTGGGCATGGCAGCAGACACCTATAATCCCAGCTAGTCAGGAGGCTGAGGAAGGAGAATCACTTGAACCTGGGAGGGAAAGTTGCAGTGAGCCGAGATTGTGCCATTGAACTCCAGCCTGGGCCACAGAGCAAGACTCCGCTCTCTCCTCGCCTCCCCTCCCCACCGCCGCCGCCCAAAAATCCTCTTCTATGAAAATGACTTGTGGATCCAGACAAATGCGTATAAATGTATGCTTATGGAATAAGCTGAGAGATGTCCATGGATCACATAATTCAGGCACAACAAGTTGTGCAACCTTGCCAAATAATTTCTCCTTACTTCATTATTTGTGTCCCACTCTTTATGGGTGTTATGACCATACCTCAGGGGATTTTAAATTTCTGAGGAAAGGGCTTGGCATGGAGAAAGAGGCTGTGTGGTGCATTCTGAAGCTAAATGGCCCTCCCTCTCCAGCATACCTTTGACCTTGCTATCAGCTCCTTGTCAAGGACTCAGTCTTCTTGATTGCTTCATGATGATTTGTCACTTCTTGAACATAAGCCCTATGTCACATCATCTTCAGGAGGAACACTCTTAAGATTACTACAAGAACAGACATGACTAATGGAGGTTTCATAGGTTAACCTTAAAAACCAGCCCATCCATGGTGGCACGTGCCTGTAATCCCAGCTACTCAGGAGGTTGAGGCAGGAGAATTGCCTGAACCCGGGAGGCGGAGGTTGCGGTGGCCGAGATCGCGCCATT